TGGGCCAAAGGCAGCACTGTGGTGTTTTACCCCAGAGATACCTTGGCTGCTGGAGAGTGCAGCGGGGCACAAGATGCAAGTCCAGGCTTGTCAGGACTCCGTTTACCTCAGGAGAGAGAGCTTCTGGCGATGGTGAAGAGAAGGAAGGAGTGGATTCTGCTGGAGGGTTATATCCAGATGTTTATTCCACGGTCACAGAGGTCTGAGCCGGGGCAATTCCTCCAACAGAATGGAGGCCGCATGGTCTGATTAACCTTTTAAGCTCAGGGCAGGGGAAGGGGAGGGGACAGGTGAGCCACCAACCAGGTGAAGGGGCAGGGTCTCAAGGGACTAGGGACACCTATCCGATGTCCCCCAAGCCTGAGGGACCAACCACACGACGCCTTGCTGGTATGTTAGCCTGATTGACAGGGCACACTCAGCAAGGGGCGAGGGGGAAGGGAGAAGGTGTAGGCACACCTGGGAAGGGACTGGAAGTTTAAAACAGGACATTGCAACACACCGCAACATGTGAGTACATGGAAGGGCCATGTACTCAGTACAGAATAGAATCTGAGGAATTCACTACTGTGGCTTCGTCTCATGGACTCAGAACTACAGAATATCACAGAGGCTTGACGGGAGCTTGGAGATCATCCAGTCCAACGCACACTGCTCAAAGCAGTGTCAGGCACAAGAGCCCATGGATGTGTCCACTCACGTTTTGAGTGTTGCCAAGGATGGAGTCTCTGCAGCCTTCCTAGAATAAAGTGTTCCTGTGTTCAAGCACTCTGCCCCAGTCCAGAAGCTTTACAGGACTAATGTGTTTTCGTTTCTCTGTTGTTGATTCTCTAATACAGAAGATACATCTGCGTAGAATAATAATGTTTAGTCAGTAGACCAGAAAGCTCTCTTTGCCAGCCTACAGGTTACCAAGCCTGAGTCAGGGAAGTGTTCATAAATAATTGAGTTTTGTCAGATGAAGCAGTGTGACTCTTGGCCTCAGTATTATTTATCTTATTTAATAAAGTGTGTTCTAGGGAAACATTCAGAATCAAGAAGAGTTTTGTTAATGCTGCAGGACGGTACTGGTATCATAGCCAATTAATGTGCCTGTTCCTACTGATGATAAGTGGATCTGTCGCCTGTTCATCTGGCATTGAGCCTTGAGCCTTACATAATCATTTTTTGGCTATACCCAAGGGTTTTGATAGTTAATGTTTCAGCTTTTACAGGTCATCAGAATTTTTCAAGAAAGATAGATTTGGTAAATAGGAGTCTGCAGTAGTCTGGAAGTGGAAACAAAACAATATTCAGAGCATAAGGTCTGTAAAATGGGCCAAAACTCGTCTGAGGAAGAATCTTTTCAATTCTATTTCAAAATTTAAGGATAGGAAGAAAGAAATGTGTGACAAAAGAAAAATGCATCAAAGGAGCTCTGGTGAATCCAGGCTGGCTTAGCCTTCATGGGTTAATAGATAATTTGAAACTGCTGTTTTCAGTGGCTCTGAAATTGCAGGAAGTGGTTTGAGGCCAAGAGGGAATAATGACTCCAGGAGACATAATTTCTAGGGAGGAACTGAGGTCCTGCAATTCTGCTTTGGAGGAAACACAAGCCACAGAATGAAATTCCTTGTAGTTTCAAGGTTAGCAGAGTAGCTGATGGCTAGAAGAGAGAAATCTGAGGAGGGAAGCAGAAAATATGAAATTATCTCTGTGTGTCTATGTATGTGCAATGTTGTGCCACATTGCCAAGCCTTTTGTCCTTTAGCCAAGAATCTGAGCTGAAAACCCTTTTTGTAAGGTCCTTCCAAAATGCACCACAGCTCTCCAATTCCAAGTATTCATGTTAGTTCAACATGGAAATGTTGGGATATGGGTTCTGAAATGTTTTAATGATTACTGTCCTCAGGTAGATAATGGACAGGCAGAAAATAGAGGGAGGCAGGGAGAGAGGGAAGGAGAAAGAAGCTCTGCTCATTTGACATTTCTCCAGATAAGAAGACAGTGATGGCCATGCACAGCTTGCACCACTCTCTTTGCTACTTCTGATGGTTTTCTGTCAAAAGACTTACATCTAAGAATCATGGACAAAGAGAAAAGTACATCTTTACAGATTGATCCCACCAAAGCGGCAGAAGCACAAGAGTTAGCTCAGTCTAAATTTAATCTGCCAGTTTCCCTGGAGTCAGTGGAGAGAGGCACCTTCACAGGGCAATTCAGAGAAGGAATCTGACTGCAAGGGCAGCATTAACCTTTATGACTGTTCTGCTTTTGCCAAGAGTCAATGGGATCAATTCATAGCTGAGTGGAGAAGACTTATACCGGCTAAGAAGCAGTCCCAGTATCAATAAAACCACCACAGTGTGTTCTCTGTATCACAGAACTGCCATATGTCTCCACTTATGGGGATTGGGTATGGGGCTGTGGAGGGAATTGCTTTTCTGGGCAGGTTAATGTAACAAAAAGCGAACCGCTCTGCAGCCATTAATCTCCCTAAAGCCCATAGTCTCAGTCCTCCTGTGCTATACTCAGTGCTGTGCTTCATTATGGAGTCTTTAAACACCTCAGCTAAAGAGAGAGAAAGTAATTTAAAAAGAAAACACATCTTTGGCTCCTTTAGTTGGATTTTTTGAGAAGTAAGGTTTCTCTTGGGTTAAACTTCTTAGAGTTTTCTAAGTTTGTTTATATTGTATTACAAAGGCCAAGTTCTATTGAGTAGACCCAAAAAGAATCCCCAATATTAGAATATGTAATAAATCAAGATAAACTAAGGTATGTAAAATTGTGAGTTTTAAGTATTAGAGCATTTTGTTATTTTTATTTTTCCTATTTCCAATTTAGTAATAAAATTGGATGGTCATGCTCTTATTTTTAATAATAATCGTACAGTACTTTAGGAACTGCAGCTTCAACAAGAAAACATAAATTAATGCTTATGGTATAAAACCTGCTTTTATTTAATACCTCGGAGGTTTGGTGAAGGGTTGTTTGGGCCTTTTTTATCATCCAGAGGTATCCAATAACAATTTTCTTTATTTTAATTATGTCTGGAATATACTGCTCATTGTAAACAAAACACATATAATGTACATATTTTAGCTCAGGGATTTGAAGCAGTCTACTAGGCTAGGACACATGCTCTGTATTTCCATTTATTTTCTCATTGAATTTTTTCAGGACTTCTGAGATACCTTTGAATAATCTCAACTTTCTGTTGTGACTTTTTCTTTTCCTTATCCAAATAAAATTATAAATACATTTGTGGAGCTCTTGGTGGAGTAAAGAGTTACTGTTTCTGATAGTTGCTTCACTGCTGTAAATACTGCTACTTACATCAGCCAGGCTACTATTTACCCCAGCTTGAACGTCTTCTCCTTCAGTTCCAATATTAACTCAGTTAAAAATAGTAGTTTTATATTTAAACCTCTGCTTCCTGAAGTGACAGTAGGTGGGCCAACTTGTAACATGATCAACATTTACAGCATTATCTCTACTGGAATTTATGCCAGCTCCTAGCAAGCAAAACATAGTGGCTTTCTGGAATCCCACTGCTTAAATTTTTACAAAAAGGCAATATTAATTAAAGAATGAAAAATATGAGCTCTGATATAGCATGCATACATGTGCATAAGTAGCATACTACACAAAATTTTTGGTATCTTGTTATACAACTCATTCCCTGAAAATACCTGTGGAAAGGGGTGATGTGCTGGGCTTGTGTATGGGGAGTAGCAGTAGTGAGATGGGGGGATCACAGAGTCCTGTTGTCAGTGTATAACTTGTGATTTAGTACAAAGTTTAATTTTTCAATACACTTAGAGATATTTGAGGTGCCCCAAGCTGTTTTAGATGCCCAAGCTTGTTTAAGAGACTGGCAGAGAAGATGCAGGATTTGCAAGAAACCCATGCCTTTCTGGAAAGCAGCTGAAGGACAGTCAGAAAAACGAGGGCATCTCTAGTTGCATTGGACAGTTTTATGTGGACAGCTGAGCTGGGCTGCATCTTGCATCTGCAGTCACAACTTTTCAAGCTATTTTTTGATAACACTGAGGGGCATGCTAATTGTGACCTATCAGAAACTGTTGGCCCTTAGCAAGACCATATAGTGGCTCATTTTCTCCGCTGTGCCACACATTATATTAGTGAATGTTGTCACTAAACAGAGTGACATTACCCAGTGTGTCTCATGGTAAATATAGATTCAAGTACCTCTAAAACTGAGAGTTGTCTTCAAGTCCCCATTAAATATAGAGCTGCTAAAAAAAGTGCCCAGGACATTACTGAGTGAAGGTGTCTGAGCAATATGCAGTAAGGGACTGAGATGGTAATTTTGATGATGTGTGTTAAAACAGTTGGACTCATCCAGGTGTCAGACATAGGAGTGTCTCTCCTAAATTTCTTCCAAAAAAGCAATATAATCTGCAAAAACCTACAGCATTTTAGTGATATTAAAAAAAAAAAAATCAAAATATGCTTTCTTACCAGCATTAAGCATAAAATATAGACAGAAAAGGAAGAAAAAATGCAGTTAGAAAGTTTGTCCCACGAAAAACATACTGCCTCTTTCTTCATGCTTAAACATGTGTGCATGCTAACTTAGGTCCAGTTTCATTCCATTCAGCTTGGAGCACCTTATATTTGATATACTCCTTATCCAGTCTTTGAGACCACATCTAATGTGTGAAGCCACCAATGGATAGTGGCATGGTGTGCATATCTTGGGCAGGAACAAGCCTGGATCATGTTATAATTATTCCTGGGGAAATCAAAGCATGGGGAGGCAGCATGGACATGACTAGCCAGTAGATATGGAGGTAGATACCCATTTATCCATATCAGTACAGACATTAGAGAAAGGTACCAGTTACTGTCTGATGTGATACCCTGGCTTCTGACGGAGATACTCTGGCTGATAGAGGGAATCTGGGTCTTAGAATCCTGACAGCTGCCATACAAACAACCTTTACAAATCCATGCCAGTCTTGTCTGACACTCAATACCTGGCTCCTTTTCTGTAGTGAGGATGGCTGGACCATTGCAGTGGCGCACTGATTTTTGTGGATGGTGATCACAAAAAGGGAATTGAAGAGACCACCCGAGTTATTCTGACACATGACTTCAGTGCTTTCTTTTCTTAGACAGATGAGGATCTGAAATATGTAAGTACACTATCATTCTTTTTAGATTTATTTGTAAAGATGAGTCAAAGAAGTACAACTCTTAATCTATCATGGGTGTGGTATTTAGACATTTATAATTTTCTTTTGATGTGGGTTTGTATGGGAGTTGATAAATCAAGATTGTTCTCATGATATTTTAAGCAGTGCTGTTTGTCTCCGTCCTTGTTTTTTTTTAAAGAAATGAAAAGAGCAAAAACCATGAAATTATATTTGCAGTGTCATTTAAATTTATTGTCTAATAAATAGTGATCACTTGGAAAATCCATTTTTTTGCTGTGTTGTTAAGAAGAGGTTTAACCAAAGTGATTGAATCAAGATGAGAAATGATCCCGGGTTCCTGAAGCTTGAATAAATGATACTGTCAGTGTTAATATGCTGGTCTGGAAGTTCATTTGAAGTATCAGAAATAACCTAAATATAATTTCATGGCAGCTTGTATGCTACTTAGTATAATTTATTCCTTACCACAGAACCTCCATTCCCTGTGCTTTACCAGCATTTCCGACTCACCAAATACTTACCAACACTCATCTATTTACTCCTGCACACTCCCAGTTCAAGTAAAGATAACACTTTTTTTCCCACCAAATAAATTCTGTATTGAAGTACAACTTTATCTTGACTCCCAATACGTTTCTTGAATGAGAGCAACCAAAATATCACGTGGATATACTATTTCTGATTCACCTAATGGTGTTGCATAAGGTGCCTTTTAGATCTTTATTATCTCCCATAAAAAAATGTTTGTGTGCAACAGTTAATAAGTAGAACTTGTCAGCTGCAGAATGCTGTACTTCAGGTTTACAAATGAGTGTCCATCCCAAAACATTTCAGAGAGAACGAAAGAAATTTGAATTGTTCCTACATGCACCAAGACTTCAATGAGCCATAAAGACTTAGAAATGCAACTGGGTTTATTTCTACAACTTGAAGCCAGGAACACTGTACTTTAAACTACAGAAACCAGTTAACAAGATTTGTAATGTACTTGTAAGGACAAGGCTGAGTCCTATGACACTTCTGGTTTTGAAATTCATCACAGGAGAATTTTTACTCAGATAGGGTTCAGAGTGTAGCTTTATATCTCAAGAATGTACTGATTCTCCTTTGGTTTTAAGCAATAAGCATAAGCTTCTAAATGTTTTCTTCCCCCAGTCCAGGTTATAAAACATATTTCAGATTATTGTGTTTGTATTGTAATGAGACTACCCTGAATTCTTGCAGCTTCAGGCAAGTTTTTAAACATACATATTGTACCAGTGACAGGCAGATTGTTTTTGAAAGGTCTGAATTAAAATAAGTGTATTTAAAAGAATATTTTGGTTTCTGACTGTAGTTGATTGGTAGAAATTGGTGTAACAATAGTGCCATGATATCAAAACCCTTGTTCATATTGAGGTTCCCAGAGGTATTGCAAGAAAAGGAACCATGGCCTAGGCATCTTCCCTGCACTAGAGGGAGAAAACAAGGCTTTTCAGGACAAATAAAAAGTTGTGAGGCAATAGTAGAGCTCTGGCATTTCGTTTCAAAAAAGAAAATAAATAAAAACTTCGGAGTGGAAAAATGAAACTGTTGGACATTTTTGCAGCTGTGCAGATATGTAAAGGATGCTGATGCTGCCTTGAAGTATCTGCATAACTGTAGATAAAAGCTTTTGTATCATAATTTGTTCAGCAACTATCAAAATATCTCATTCCTGAAAGAAAATGCCCTCCTCATAAGTATCAGGACTTTCTTAAAGGAAGAAAAAATCACTTGATTGCCAGAAATTGTACATTTTAAGAGACCTATCAACCTAACCCAGACTTTTTGACAGCTATGGAAACCAGCCAAAATTGTATTAAAAAGTGGTATTGTGCTAGGGGTAACTATGCTCTGTCAGATGTATTGCATATACCCTGCTGTGCACATGGATATTTATGGATATGCCTATACAACGTCAAATCAAGGGGAAAAAAACAACTTACGGGAAGGTGAGCTAATATCTGGTTGTTCGTGGCTAAAAGATACAGCATGAATGCATTGTCCTGGCAAGTGAAAGTGAAGGACATAAATGAAAGGGTATTCCCATAGTAGCTTAGTGGTTCAAGGACATTTATCAGCACTACATATCTGCTGGAAAAGAGTGGATGGGGGATTCATTCATCTTAGTTTCCTGTGGTTGCTATGTGCTTGGAAATCGCATCCATTGCTACCTGTATGGGGATCCCTGACAGCTGGGGACAGTTTGAGTTATTTGAACCATGCATCTCTCCACATGTCACCAGGAAGGGAATTTACATTTGAAATTGGAATTGGTTTATAACCTTGCAGAAGTGCACAGGAGTAATACAGGGATATTATCAGTATGTCTGGCCAGTTTTGAGTTCCTGTAGAAATGTTGCCACATAAGGATCTCCTGAGGTACTCAGATATCAGTGTGATTAGCCTGGCAGACAGACCTTTGTATTGGGGAAGCAAGGTCAATGCTCCTGGGACAGCAGGAGACATAAAGATTTAATAATAATACTTTATTATTCTATCAAATTATATTTGCAGAGCGCTTCAAAATCATTGTGTGAAGGACAAAGAATGCTGTATATATAGAGGAGTAAAGGCTGACATTTCATGTAATTAACAGAATTCCATGCAAGTTTGGGCTTTGGAAGAAAAATAATCTTTGGCTGCACACTGTGCTTGTAGGGCTTCCATAACAGACACACAGGGAGCCACTGTAAGGCATCTACGGAATCATTGCTTTGCTGGTGCCATGTCCTCAAAGACTCTGAGGTTCAAAGACCTGTTTCTACAAGGTAGGGGGTTCATGGGGGTTCATGGAAACATACAGTACTTGATAATTTTTGGTTTTGTTGCTTCTCAAAGTACCTCTTCACCTAGCTGAATTCTGGTAGAAGCTAGACTCTGTCTAGGTAGGAGTATCTTCCCTGAGCCAGTTTATGGGAAGTGTTGTGATTCCTCTTGTTAAGGGATGGTCAGTTAGTTAGCATGGTTTTTCTTGGTTTCTGCTATGAAATTCACTTTTTTTCTGATGCTTCTGACAGTCCTTCAAGTTACCCAGACTGCAGATTAACGTACTACAAAATAAAGCACTTGTTGCTCCATGTCAGGGTTCATCTCTGTTGTTATGCAAAAGGGAACACAGGAGATGATCTCAAATAGTTACCTGACCATGCCCAGACCATGTTATTTCATGCATTGTACCCCTCTTGGTTTGTTCTCTCTGTTATCACACTGCAGTTTTGGGTCCTGCTCAGCAGTTAGAAGTTAAAGGCAGTGGTGTGGCCAGTGTGGAGAACACAGGGCTGAGCTGCAGTAATTTTACATCTACTCTGGATTTGCAAGGGTTTGATAGATTATATCAGTCTATGCCACACATTTATACAATGAAATTAATAAGATTGGCTTACATTAGAATAAAAATACCCCTTGGCAAATGCGTAGTTTTATTAGATATTTTTTCTGTTAATGACGTATTCTTTCCAGAAAATGGGCCCAGTATGGGAATAGATATAGGTACACTCAGACCCTTGAAGCCTCCACTATGCAAATTAATTTCCAGTACCCTGGAATATAAAAGTACACTACCTCCTTCATTAGGCATGGATCATTTCTATAATGAACGGTTGGCATTGCTGCATGATAATTTATCAGGATTTGGGAAAGGCACAGAAGGCCAGCAAACTTTCAGATAAATTTGATTTTGTTTTTAGAGCTGGGACAAAAGAAACCATATTTGCTGATGTGTGGAGTAATTTTTACCTCGGACATAAACCTGTTGGAAGAACTACAGTATGTGAAGTGAAGCACAGAGTTCTCCTCGAAACCAAAACCAGCTTTATAAAATGAATATTTTTAAAGTAATTTAAAGATTGACAATGTGCTAGCTTCAGGTTTGAAGTCACTATCAGTGACTTCAAACTTCAGCCTGTGAGAAAAAAAATTGTATAATAGGTGCAAAGTGGTTAAAGAAGGAAAAATGGCCAACAATTTTTTTTAAGGTTTTCCACATAAAGGTAATCAGGTATTTGAATAGGTTGACCAGAAAAGTTGGGTAATGTCTACATGTGGTGACTTTCAAATAGTGGGGCAAGTTCTTGATCCACCTAATATATCTGGTCAAACTTGAATTATTTTGTGATTCTAGGAAGAAAGGCCATCAAAGATGAAAGTTCAAGTTAAAATCTGGAAGGATAATTTTTTCAGCATCCAAAGGCATCTCTGTAACTTTGGATGTCTTAGTGGCTCAGGGTTTTTTTCTGTTTATTTGCTTCCAAGAGTGAAGGACAAGGCCACCTTCTCTGACAGCCCTTTGAAGCAGTGTGAGAAGAGGTCAGATAAATTTGCTGACACTCATATTTAGCTTCAGCTAAGCATTAGCTGAAGTTCCCTTTCTCCAAGTTACCACTTTTGTAGTAGGGATTTAGCACTAGTCTTTTCTGCACTAGATATACCCATGTAAAGTAGTGGAATGAGATTCTTAGCTGGATACTTTCCCATCCTTACAGGTTCTCTTCATGTGTCATGTCATTGGACTTGCTGTACATGAGCAGTGAAGGGAGCTGTTATCAGTCCCTTCAGAATATTCCTGTTAAGGAGGAGGTTAATCCTTCTGGGTCCTCAGCTCAGGCTGTTCCTGACAGCAATATGATGGACACAGTAGACAAATCCAGGCTGCCTGAAGAGTAAACATACGGGCCAAAGAGCTTCTCCCATTATTAAATTTTCCTCCCAAAACCACTGTGATTTGCTTCAACATCAAGCAAGACAGCCAGCCAACAGATAGGTCATACAGACAATGCTTAGATACTCTGGAATTCTCCTACCATCTGCTTCCAGCTTTCTCATCTCCACTCAGTTCCATCCTTTTATCCCTTCCTCCTTTTCTACCAATGACATGAGGGGGGGAAGCACGTTTTTCCACTTGCCTCCTTGTTTCTGGACTAAAAGAAGGCAGGACTATAGGCAGGAAATCACCAGTG